CTCACCACATCGTGACCTCCCATTCTGGTAGACGATGGTGCCAGAGGAGCGAGGTGCCAAGACAGACATCCAGGCTGTCCAGTGGACTTCGGTCCGAGTCCCGTCCCGTCACTGTTTGACGCTGTGATGCTGCTGCCGCCGAGCGCGCTCCAAGGGACTTGCAGTTGTTGGGACTTGTGGAGCGCGCTCCGACGGGCAGCAGAACAGTTCACATGCGGCGGGCGACTGGCAGCGAGGGCCGCGCCGCGTCGTCCCGGCGGGCCTCCGGTGGGCGGGACTGTCCCGCGTGACGGCCGATACCAGTGAGGCAAGTTTCGACAAGCATACGGCGTCGAGCAGTGGCGGCCGTAGCCCGTAAGCAGTAGGACGACGGACGGACGGCGGTGAAGAGCGTCTGTGGGGCTTCCGAAGACCGGCTGGCCGAGGCGTGGCAGCACAGCCCCCGTTCACGAGCCTCAGAATTCCTTTACCGTGACGTCACGTGGGCGGCAAAAATCCCTTCACCCCATAACGATCCATACAAATGAGGCCGAGTTTTGAGCTGGGCTGACGCCCAAGTTGAGGGCTAAAACATTATAAAAAGCATACCATTTGAATCAGTAAGGCTTGATTTTTCCAAAACCGGGCCTCAATAGGTCAAATTCGAATGAACCAAGCATTAATTTTGCCTTTTAGATGAGGCCTGCAAATTTCGATGAAGTTTTTTCTCGTGAAGGAAAAAAATAGTGCTACCAAATGCGTCTTGCGCCGCTTTTGCAAAAGTTAGATACTAACGCCATTTTCTATCAACAATATGCAAATTTATCATGATTTTGGCCAAATCGAATGGCAAACATTCACTTAACAATAGCAAGACTTCTATGAGGTGCATTGTTTTGGCGAGTGATCTATAGTATGCTTCAAAAATACCACTGGAACTTGGTATGCCTCATACTGCACTACCATTTAGGAACTGAAGACTCGTATCTGAGCCACTTTGAATACAAGATAATGGGCTTAAGTGTGAAAAAGGCTGTGTTATGCCTTTCAAGAGAAGAAAACATGCCAGTATTGGTCTTTTTTAGCACAAATATTTATTTCTAGACTCTAGTGAATATTAATAATGTGTAAAATCATAAAATGTTGAAGTTCACTTGATACGAGAACAATCAACAGATCACCAAAGCAAGGGACCTGGTTGACGGGTCTTGTTGAGTCCATTTTTTACATTTCTCTCATCCAATAAGTACCTAGTTAATTGAGTAGAGTATTGTCTACTATTATAATTTGTGGTTAATACCTTAACATAGAACATTGTGAGCAACTGTCGTGCTGCCGCAAGGCGCAAATGAGCAAGCACAAGTGCTACAGTGACATGAATCATGATGTATGTATTTCCAAGGTGGCATGTACAATAAATGTTACAAGGGTAGAGTACCTTTGTTCTTTTATGGAATGGAAATCATTTAGAGATACAAAACATCACATGATTCAGAAGAATATTGGTGAGCTGATATTTAGTTTTCATACTTTAATAGCACCCATAAAAATCATCTTCATTTCGTTGAGCAGTGCTCTTGAGATAATGGGTGACCGGGACGGGTCAAGTAATTGAGTTGAAGAACTATGCTGAAATATGAATACAACACTAAACATTTTCAGCACAAAGAACCATCACCTTCTTCATCCACTCCAAACACATCTATTTTTGAATGCATATTGCCCACTCAGGAAACCTTAATGTAAGGCTGAAGCTGAACTGCAGGTTCATTAGCTACGTTAGACTGTGCCCACTGCCCACAGTTCCTTACATGAGAAGACCAGTGAGTGATGAAGTTCTAACTTCTAAATCATTGAAGTCACTTAGAAACATGGTCTGGCACATTTTGCACAGCTATTTCAATTTCATATAATCCAGCAAAAGATATATTGAACGTCGTATGGAAACCATGAATAATGAATGTGTACTGGAGCAGCCAATCTGCAAATATGGTAACTTCGATGAGATCTTGTTGGTGCGGGCTTATTCGGCTGGTGCGGATTTGGCATGGTGCGGAGCGGATTTGGCTAATGGCTTGGTGCAGTGCGGATTTAGTGTGGTGGGTAGGTTAAGGTGGTAGGCTTTAGGTTGTAGGTTTAAGATTGTAGGTTGTAGGTAAAGTTAGGCCAGGTTTGGTTAGGTTTGGTTTGGTTTGACTTGATTAGCAGGCATCTCTGGGTAGAGCGCCTCTCCCTGGTTGGAAAAACAAGTGTAGGGCTTGCTTAACAACTACCACATTTTTATAATGCATGATTTTACTAGATTTTACAATTTGAAACATGTCAAAAACTGTTAGAGGCAATTGGTGTACATTGCTCAGACCATCACTTTGTCAATATAGCCAATGCAGCATTGTTATGAGGGCTAATTATTGCATATCTTATGGCCATGCTCAACCCAAAATTTAAAAACATTCATAGCTGAATAAAAATTTAATCACTCATCAGCATTTCAATTTCATTGTGCAATACAAACCAACCTCTGATGAACAGACACTATAAAGGAAAATAATGACAGAAAACCTGGTGATATTATAAGCGATCTGATAAATAAAGCTAGAGTCGTCTGAATCCTCAATATTCCGATCTAAAATCGCAAATTTGTCCATTATCCTAAAAAATCCACAAACAATACCCTATATACGGCCTTGAACAATACCTTGCATTATAAATGTCTCACGCAAATCATTTATGTATATGCAAACAGCTACCAAATCGCTACCATATTATGTGACGTCACCTGGGCGGCAAAAATTCTTTAGTGAACTAACCTTATAAGTAAAGTAATCTTGTGGCAGCACACTGACAGGTCCTTGGGCATTGCGACTGCTGGGGAAAAGCATTAATGGGGCCAAAGCCCGAGGGGCTCAGTGAGGGAATATTCAGGGAGCCTGTCTGGCTGCATTGTCGGGCACTACTGTGACTTTTCAAGACTACGATGTTTGACTGAATCTATGCCAATGAAAGAGCTTTCACCGTTATCATATCAATGTGGGCGCTAGCCTTAAGCATGATAAACATTTAATGCCAGCTACTACCCACAAGCCAGAGAAAAGGGCATTAGGCATGCCGAACAAATGGCATGACGTCGGTACACGTACACACCGCCTAAGCAGTTCGCATTGCAAATGCGCTAGAATTATTCAGTTAATGCCAAACACCAATAAGGCTGTAATGCAGCAGTTACATCTCGTCCGAAAAGTAATCCCACCTCGCGAGTGACCGAGTCGATGCACGACCGGCACGACCCACGCCTGGCGACCTCATCCGCCGCCATCTTGGATTTCCGCCATCTTCACTCGGTAGGAAGGCGTTCGGTGGCCGGTGCTGCTCGATTCTCAAATAACCATCCATGCTTGATGCTGCTTAAGGTGTTCTCCGTTCAAAGGCAAATGTTCACTGCATTGCACATTGACAATCACTGAACCATCTTCGAATAATCGGCAGACAAAATCAGACAAAAAGCAGCACAACCACCAGCGACCACCGCCCCTGCTCGCTTCCTCACGGCCATTGAGTTCGCGCATCTGCCGCCAGGTGGTAAGTTGTGTTGCAAGGGCGGATGCAGAATTGCATGGAGGGAGCATAGCGGAAAGAAAGCTTAGTTGCTTTTATGCGGGAATAAATGTATCGTAACTGGGAATGGTCGAACCATTTAATGAGATTAAGTAATTTTCTGTCACGCCCAAATGTCGGCAGCTCAGCAGAGCAGGCATTTCTCTGTCAGAGAGGTGCATCGTGTTTTGCATTGTCATGGCCACCTGTAGTGAAACTTCGTTAGCTCAGTTTCTCGTCTCGCGCAATAGACGTCGCTGCACGTATAGAGGGCGACGGGTGGCTTCAAAGGGAAATCTCTCACTCCCACTATCTATTCAGACTGCCTATAATCCTATTCCAATAAAATTAAAGGCAACGACAAAATCAAAATATCTATGCTATAATCTTCCGCTACAATACAACTATTTGTAGGTACAGCCCACCGCTAAAGTAATGTAGGGTTTTACCAATCTCAACGGTTGGCTTTGACTGGCGATTGTTTAATGCGGAGTGATTGAAAAGAAGATGTCAATAGCTAAAGTTGCAGTTGCAAGGGTGACGATACATATAAGCTACATTCAAAGTTTCATTGTAGTCTGGCTAATCGTTCCTAAGCTTCAGAAGCAGAACATACCCATGACTGAAACCCCACATTACTTCTGCTGTGGACTGTACGTGCCCTCATTGGGGCTCAGCTGGCCTGATAACGAGGCATCTACCAAACAGATGCAGATGGTGCCAGCCGATGCCCGATAACGGATTCGGTGGCATCTGCAATCTGCAATCTGCATACCCTGTTTGTGGGAAACATTCGTTAATCGTTTGGGAAAGTAGCTCCTATCGAAAGGCCATTGGTCTTTGGCTACGGCTTCTTTGATTATGCCCCATGGACGAGATGTCATAACTACACTTTGAAACGCATTACCTCAGCTCATGTTACAAGACTGCTATTTCGCTTCGACATACCAAGCTAACAGTGCCATTGCTCGTTATTCGTTGCATTCAAAGTCAGTTTTTTTGTTTGTTCCTGATTTCACTCCTTGGAATTTCGGACCACGTGCTTCAAATGTTTCGGTGTGAGCATGGGAAGCCACGTGTCGTATGGCATTGGTAAAGAGGCTCGCAGCAAATGTACCAATCCGCTGAGTGTATTTTGCCTGCATTGCAATACATATTTAAATGCATTCGCGATATGATTGTGATATAGCCAAGGAAAATGGTCAATAGAGAAAGACCGGAGCCATCGCCCGAGTGCATCTTCCTACTTTTACAGTTCAACTGGATGAGTAGAAGGTAGAAGACCACGGTGCTTCCAAAAGCGCTTGTAAACCAAAAATGCTGGCTAACTGATACCCTATCCTATTAGCAGCTGAGACTTCAAATCAACAAATTACAATAAAAAGATCTGCGCATGATTCCAACGACAGACCCGTTTCCAGAATATCTGAACGCAACCGCGTTTATTTTCACTGTATCGTTTGTTACATAGCGTGCGCATAGGCCTCGGATACATAGGCTACGATTCTGACCGAGAAGCAGAATCACCCCACTCACGAACATCAGAGCTCGATGTACAAATTCAACCTACACAGACCGTTATCAAAAGCCAGCCGACGACATCCAGGCTGTAGATACAGATCTCTGCACCACAATGCGTACATGACTTCAAACGATCGGGAGTGCGTAGATTCTGTTTAGTGAAGCCCGTCACAGTTTTGAGTAAGCAGTTGGATACATTTCTCCGTTAGGTTTTGCAACCCCTCCATGCCAGAGAGCACACTTCAGCGCGTCGTGTAACACTAGATTGCACCGCGCCGGACACATTAAAACGCATAAAATATCCAAATCAAACAACCAACAACAGCCCAGCTGTCGCGGAGGTCAAGCCTTCGGGGCACGCACGCGCCACGCGCCGGGTATCCCGGCCTGGGGACGCGGGAATGAGACCCCAACACGGACCAGGCCCCATCCCGGCGGTCCGCGCCGGGGTCGGAACGGGTCAACCAGGCGTGTGGAGCCGACACCAAGCGTAGGCTTGCCGGGGGACGGGCCAAAAGTCCCCCGGCTCATCGACGATTGTCGGCCGAAACCTGAATCATACCGCCCTGCTGAAAAGCCCACATCCGCGGCAGCCTAGACCGAGCCGTATGACTGAGTGTGCGGCCACTGGAGGACCGCGTGCGCGCCGCCATCAGCCGCAGCTACACGTCCCACACCGTGTCCACCGCCGTTCGCGCCTGCCTGACCGACGTTCGGGTGATCCACCCGTACTCTGCAGCTAAATAAGTCCATTAAGAATAAATATAACAGCCCAGCGCCGCGATAGCCTCGGGCAATCACCGGGTCACGAGGTCACTCACGGCCGGCGCTCGACCTCCGACCTCCGACTAGACCAGAGCGTGCCGCCTGCCCTCCTACCACAACGCATTGCATGCACTTCAATGGAACACAGACACACATACGCGCGCACCCCCACACACTTTTTCGCTAAAACCCGACCGTCATGGGCCGCTGCCTGTCCCGACTGCTACACCGAAGGCAAAGTGAAAAAAATTCATCATTGTAGCGTGACGCTGCACAATGCTGCCTAGTTGTCCAATCGTGCCGTGACAGTGCGCACGGGTTACCGCGCAGGTCAGCGTGCGACCGCACAGTCCATATCACCAACGGGCGTCCGCATAAGCCACGAATCACTACTAAAACGTCCCGACAATTGCAATAAATACACGCACACACGCACACGAACACGCCAGCCGGCGACGAACCGGACCCGTCTGGTCGGCTCGTCAAAGGACAAGTCGCGAACCAGGCGACTCGTATGTCGACAAGCCTTCAACCAGGCGGCTCGTCGGGTGACTAGTCTGGTACGGACACCTGCCACACGATCAGGTGGGAGCGCTCGCCGCGAGACAGAGAGCGCGGCTTGTCGGCTGACTCCTCCAGGTCCTCTTCCTCCTCGGCCTCTCCTGCAGAGACATGGCACCGTCAGCGAAAGGCAGGGGACAGCCACGAGCCAGATACGAGGCTGGTACGAGCCAGATACAAGCCAGCTACGAGCCAGATACAAGCCAGCTACGAGGCTGGTAAGATGCTGGTCAGAGACTGGCACAAGGCCGGTAAAAGGTAAGTACGAAGGAATAATAAATCGAGTACAATGCAGACACGAAAAAGTGTGAGGAAGCCAAGACTCGGGAGCTAGAAGATGCGAGGTAGGTGCAAGGAAGATGACGAGCCTTATACGAGGCAGGCACGAGCCAGATAATGACGCTGGTGCGAGGAAGATGCGAAACAGACGAACTATATGAAGTGCAAGGCTGGGAAAGGTACGGGGCAGATGCCAGAGACACATGGCGGGTAAAAGGAAAGGCGCGGTACACAACCATTTTCTACAGCTTACATAATAGACGGATAATAGACGGAGTCAAAGTGTCAGGAAACATTTCGATATAAGGTGCCTGAAAACAAAACGCAATGATATTACGAATTTACCAATTTGACTAAAAATCGTGAATATGAGTGCGCTATAACAGCAAAAACTTTAGATAAAGTACCTGGATTTTTTACGGAATTGCGGTTGATTTAACACGACAAAAATAAGGCAACTGAAGTAAGTGTATTTGGCGCACGAAAAGAAACATCCGAGACCTTCACAGCCCTGTGAAATAGAAGAAACCATCCACCGAAGGCCAGCAGCCAATCATGCAACAATGAAACGATCGTCCCATCACCGCCACCATCCAGTTCACGTGGCGTGTGTCCACCGTGCCCACTGGGTGCTCCGTGACACGTGTATGTGACCTGTGCCACGTGTGTGTGTGTGTGTGACCTGTGACACGACATGACGTCACCGTCCGACCAGAGCGCCGCCACCCCTCGTCTCCGTACGTCAGTCAGTTCGTTCGTCCGTCCGTCCATCTGCTTTAGTTCGTTCGTTCTTTGGTAAGTCTGATTGCAAGTTTTTCTTTTATACCACTCTGCGAAGCTACGATTTCAGCGAGTCCTGTACGCTTAAATAAGAGGAAGAGAGAAGGAAAAAGAAAGGGATAAATATGACAGCACGCACATCCGTTCTGACTGGCCCCCGTCGCTCTTCGCTCTGTTCACCATGCCCCAAGCCAGCCTCAGCCCTGCAGCCGCTCACAGAGGCCGACATAGCCGGTGACCACCTGGCGCCCGTGTCCAAACGACACGCACCTCGCAGCCCGCACTGCCACGTGGATCGGACAGCTGCCCTGCCCGCCGACACCAGCTGCTCCCCGGCAGATCGGCTAGCAGCTGTCATCACTCAACACCCGTCAAGTACCCACAGGGGGCCTGGCGAGCCGATCCTACCCAATGCAGTCGCCTGCCCACTACCCAGTGTCATGTAGTCAGAAGTGGCTATCCACTGCCCGGTGCCCGCTAGAGGTGGCAAAACTGGAAAATTTTGGGACCCGGACCCGGACCCGGTCTGACTGGCACATTTCTGGAACCGGTCAGACCCGGTCTAAGTCAGCGTTGGAACCAGATGGACCCGTTCCCGAAATTCATTATGAAAATTGTGTACAGTTGTAGGTAGGTATAGCAAGAAGAAAATAGTTTCTTTCCAATTGGGCATACTTGTGTTGCAAAGTAAAAACTCATGCCATGGTCATTTCACTTCACTTCACAGTTTGTATTTTAAAACCAGATCCAGGTCATATTTAAGAATATAAGAAGTAAGTAGACCAATGAATTTCATGCTAACCTAAGCCACTTTTACTACAGCTGCTAAAAATGATGTGAACTGGGGATCCATGGAGCAGTGCCTCCACCAGAGTCAAAACCTAACATCAACATGGAACAAGATAACATACTGATACATACCTTTTCTAATATCCCTGGTAAAAGATATTCGTTTTTAGAATTAATTCATTAGTCCTTACAAATATTATCAACTTGAACTATCCAAGGCCCCAAACGAGAAAACATTCAAAATCAAAATAGAAACATCAAAACTTTGTGATAGTGATGTCAATTTCAGAAATTTTGGAAACCAATACCAAACCGATACCGACCAAAGCCACTGAGAGTATACCAAAACCGAACCGATTTTCAGAAACAGGGGGAAATACCGACTAGATACCGAAATCAGGGAATTATCAAACAAATGCTTCAAACTTTCTCAAGACATATGATAAGCCTTGAAAGGTACCTAATACTTTGAAATAAGGTAACAAAAACAAATCAGGCAATCTCTTAATTATTTGCATTGCAAAAAAAAAACATTTATAACTTATTTTGTTATAAATGTAATTATTTTGTAATTATTAACAAATATTCAGGTCAGTTATTTTACTGGAATGTGGATTCAAGTTAACTGCATGAGGTGTTAGGAAAATAACTTGAACCCTGAATCTTGTCCATGCCTGAACCATCAAACCTTCTTTCAATTCAAGTCATTCATTTCGAGTCCGGTCAAGACAGGGTTAAGCGTGTTATCATGATCCAAAAGTTGTGACCCAATTGACAGTGATGGGCTACACCTTGGGCTGGCTACACCATTAATGTAAACAAAGCCCATGATACCTACAGTTAAACCCAAGTAGCATGGTGATTGGTGACGATACTGACGCAGCCAATTTTTCTTCATAAACAAATGTGTAACACAACAAAACTTGATAAATAATTACTTACGAGGCACACTGATAGATAGCAGACACCACTGTGAGGTTATCGCGATGAAATCTAAGTAAAATGCCCATAATTTTACGGAAGCATTGACACACGTCACGGGTCATCTCTTCCATAATGGCGGCCTTACAGGCGGCGGCCATTTGCATTAATGATTAAACTGAATAAAATAAAGTTTTTCTTTTCTTTTTTGCTTAAATCAAAATTCCTTGTATAAATTTTGACATCTTAAAATTAATTCAAGAAAGTTGTAGGCCACTTTTGCTGAAAAATGAAGTACCAGAAAAACATAGTTGTTCAATTATTTTCAATTAGTTTTTGAGCTATATCGGTTCCTCAACCTGGCGCAGCTGCGACATTGAAATGTTTTTAGATGTGTTCAGTTTTGAAACTGCTGTGTGCGAGTCAAGCCAAAAGCCAATTATATTTTTGAGTGCTTGTGATTAAATTGCTAGCGATCTGTATCTGTTGAGAGAGCAGGAAAGAGAACACTAATTGAAGAAAATAAATTATCCACAGGATCATGACAGCATCGCTCACTACAAGGCTTTTTGAAGTTGAGCGAAGTTGAAGCTTTGTGGGGTGATGCGGGTGATGATGAAGTGACAAATGCTGCCTTAAATATTAGATGATAATGGTGAAGCTAGTGCTGTATTAAACAGGGTTTTGGATAATGTAATTGCATTGCAGTAAAATGGAGAGGAAGACAAGGTCAAGATCAATCACAGACTCCTCAAAACAAAGTCAAATTTTTTGCTAATAAATGCTTTGGAAATTTTGAGAAAGGTAGTTTAAGGATGTTTTCCAGCATACAGTGAGTTAAACATTAATTCATGTTTATGTCTTGCACATTGGCTTTCTTTGTAGGATAATTATCCTCATGGTATTGGAATTTGCTAACACTGATAAGTTGCCATTTAACATTGGTAGACTGATGTATTTGATATTACAGTTGATGTGTTTGCCCATTTGTTAGGACATCATGCATTTGGGAGAAATGTGTCATGATTGTCATTTTTCTTCATCCAGTGTCATTTAGCAAAATCAAATTTGAGTTCAGAAGGTTTATCAAAAATGCTTTCAAATATTTTATGACAGTAGTTGATTTTCATGATACCGACAAAATACCAAATGCTTTTGGTATATAATACCGAATACCGAATCGGTATTGGTTCGGTATCGGTATACCGAAATTTTGGTAACCGATTGACACCACTACTTTGTGACGTCCGCCAGAAATGTCGACACGATAGCAATGCAAGAATGCAAGGACAAAACAGGCGTTAAATCACTGCAAAATTCTGTTGGGGTTAAAGTACTGCAAAATCGTAAAGGCAAATGGCAAGGTTGCGATCCTGACTTAAGTGCCAATTTATTAACGTAGAAAACAAACCACATTTTTTTGTTAGTACTCAGATATAGAATAAATACCAAGGGTTCTGAGACTTACTTGATTTCTTCCCAAACGTGTTCCAAAATTGTAAACTTTTTGCAGTAGATTGGCGTGCGTAAGGTATAGCATTTATGACGCTCAAATGCGCCATTTTCACATCAACACGGAATCATTGGCCTTGGAGAAGGGTATTGGTATTGACTAAGTTTTTTTGCCAGCTGCTGCCGTATGATGGCGCTAGTAAAGCGCTTTATGTATAATACGCTCTGCTAGCGCCACCATGCGGCGCCAGTTGGCTAAAAATCTGATCAATACTATGGTTTCTGGAGAATGCCTTGGATTCATTTTTAGCTTTATTGTTATGGATTTATGAAAGGGCATGTTGGTTTTATGAGTTGTCTTCTGGCCGTGATAGAAATAATTTCAAAGCTGTTTGAGTTATGAAATGCATTTGAATATCAAACATGAACTCTGATTTCCGGTGGGCATAGTGACTTTGGTATGTCAATGTCTTTGAAAAGGCAGGTGAGAATGCCACTGGTCAGCCTTGCTTCCATTGGATTTGTGTCCATTTATAAATGGATTTCAGTCATACCTACTTACCTACATACGTTGTTGGTATTTGATTTCTACAGCTCAAAATATTGCTAGGTTTTGTACAGCAAACTGAATGGAAGTGATCCGTACAAATATTTGGTGAAATGTTTTCTGGATTGCTAGCACTTAGAACTTGTTCATTCTGTTGTAGCTGACAAGATAAGAAATTGAAGAAAGACTGACTAGTATGCTATAGAATAGGTACCTACTAGGTAGCCCAATCTGCAGGAATATTAAAATTCAAAAGTGGAATTGGGACTTATGAACTGGAAACTGCATCAACTATGACTATGTTTGCCAAAGCATAAAAGATATTAATTTAAT